CCTCATGAATGCCGAGACTAGCCTCTGCACTGAGCAGAGATTTGCTGGAGATGCGAGGTGGAGACCACGCTGACATAACAGCATCCAACCGTGGCCCTCTATATAAGGTATCTTATCTTAGATTGCATTTAGTCTTGTGGAAATATTTTGGGAGCAATCAATTTTAGGTTCACTGGTTCCATGCGTTGATCGACTCGAGTATCGGTGATAGTAACATAAAATGGGGAAAGAGTTACTCATTACTGGGGCATATTTTTTGATTTTTTTTTTTCAATATCGTTTGGTCAGAAAGAAAATTGAGATTATTTACATTGAAAGATAAATCTATTTTCTAACCCCACATACCATACGGATAATTCTATCTTTTGAATGCGCTCCTCCCCTCTGAAGTCCATGTGAATTAATGCATTAATGATGAGTTAAAAAATTTATTGATCCACCTATTGGTAATTTGATCATCTGACGGTTCACTAATATAGCATCTATACATTATTCTTGATGAAATCTAGTGACTAAAGAAATGTGTTGCCCATTATAGCATCCTCAATTCTACCAATTCTTTACCAGCCGTTGGATTTACAGCGCTTCCCTTATTATCGAAAAAAACTGCTTCAATTCTGTTTTATGTTGTATGTCGAAAATTATTCTATAGTGCGTACAGATGGTGCCTCAGAGAAATGAATAAATTTACATTATTTTATGCATGAATTACATACAATATTAAAAAAAGTTCTTCTCACGAACCAATTTGCCACTAACATGCCAACAGCTTAAATCATGAGAGTTGTTTTAAAGTTATCTTTAGACGCTACATGAATTGCATTCCGATGTTGTGTCCTGATCTTGTGATCAGTTACGCTTCTCTCAGATTTATTTTGGGTCATATGAATAATACACCCCAAATTACGTTGCTAGATGTGAATCATGTCAAGACATCGCTTTGTAAATACGTTCTGTGGTCAGCAGAGGAATTTCCAGATATTGGCGTACCGTAATACGACGATTTGTATACAGCAGGTGAGCCCCTACCTAATTAGGTCACTTGTCAGATTTTATAGAATTATTTAATTTAAAATTCACACAGCGGGGATCACTTTTCCATGTGCAAGAACAAGTGCACATTTATGGCTCTATGTCCCACACCACCGTTCAATTACATGCGTGCCGAGCGGTCGTTACTCATGCGCAATTACGTACTAAATCTGCGTGCAAATCACAGCACATAAAGTACACTAATTTTTCGCGGCAGAAAACGCTACTGCGAATGATTTTCTAACTTCTCCACGTATTGCTGTTCAAATAAAATTTTAAAGGAGCTTGGTTCCCCTGCATCCCATACGAAAATTAGCACAATTCAGGAATCTTTTTTGAAATCAGCTAGGACTGCATCGTATTCTACTGGATAATTAAATTCAAGATTTATTAGATTACTTATTATGACTTAATGACTGAAGGTACTCGGACAATGAAGGTATTTAAAGGTTTGGTTTACAGCGGATCCGGTGCCATCTGTCCTGACTGCGGTGATGCACAGGTTTTTCGCAAGCAGTGGGCCTATACTTTCAAAACTCGCTAAGTGAACGTAAGTACTTACGCTCTATTTTCTTGTCTACGATTGGTGGATTTTGCTTGAAAGGCCGTCAATGATTGGCTGATGAACTTACGATCTCTTAACTTTTTTTGAAAGTATAGGCCCAGCAGGAGCAAGAGTCGATGATCTGTTGCTGGATTTTTTTCCAAGTTGTAGTTTTTCATTACGAAATTCCGGCAATAATGAAGAAATTTAGTTTTCAATATTTTGAATTTCTCTTTTTAATCGATCATACGTTTTGAGTCAATAAAATAAAATCACTTTGAACGAGCGTAATTAATTTTGTTTCTATTCATTTCAAATTAGTTACGCATGCGATCTTCTCAAAGATCATAAAAAAATATATATAAATAATCGAATACATATCGTTTAACTTGAAACAGTCTTGAGTTCAAGCTAGATCCTAATTTATGCCAAACAGTGAACATTTTTTTTTATGGATATGAATTTATGGATTTTTTTATTAATATTTTTTATGGAAGCTAACGGATGTAAATCATTTAACGAATGGAACAGTTTCCCTGATGTGTCGACTGACAGCCGATATACATACTTAATAATATCGATGAAAGAACACGAAGTTATTCAATGAAATTTAAAAAATATATTCTTTCGAAATGATTTGTGATGCAGGACCATCTAACAACCGTGAAGCGGAATGGGAAATAAAACACATCTCTCAGTATGTATCTTTTATAACTCATTATTCAATAGTATCTTACTAACAATATGTTGAAAATTTAATTTAAACATCTTGGGTGGACGTTACCGATTGGAAATCGTACCGCATAAACTAAATAAGAAGTTTTCAGTCTGCCAATAGATATCACTTTTTTTTAAATGCGGATATATCAAGTTTAATTGGCAACCATGGTTAGAAAAATATGGTTCATAACATTTAAGCATAAAGTATTGCGCTCATTGAATAATCAGTGCAAAATTAATGAACGTCTTTATTGGAAATTAATTCATTTTAAGAAGCTCAGATTATCGCAGTATCATTGCAAGATTAATCGATAGAAATTTTTATTAGGTTAAATTCACTATTATTTAGAGAATCGATAATTGATAAATTCAATATTATTTATAGCATTTATATTTGACCAATGAATATTTATCTCCACTTACACTACACTAACTATATTAATTAATACTAACTATTAGAGTAGAATAATTTGCTTCATTACAACTACTCTATGGGATGCCTGACCGTTCCATCAATACTTCGAAGGATGACTGGAATTTTTCTGAACTTTAGTGTGAATGCCAAATATTAATTGATCACCTTTTCTCTGTTTCACAGCTACGAAAGCAGTTAATATGATTTTCTAATAACAATGATAGCTATGGAGTTTCTCGATTTTTTTTTTGCTGCCACTTCGGTACAACACACCTATTAGATTCGAACGCGAAGATCTTGATCGATGACTAGTCACTGAAAAAATTTTCGATGATGATAAATGTAATAATCTGATAATTATTGGTAATTTAAGTGTAGCACCTGCATGATGATCGCTGGCTGAATTTAAATTTTTTTCATTCGAGACCCAAGATGAAGAAAGAACGAGGTTCCTTATACAGAATTTTTTTTCATTGCATCGGATCAAATACGGCAACAAAAGCACTGTAAATAACGAGGGATTTCATTGTCAGAGCATCGGAATAAAGGGATCTTTATCTTCACAATTTATATTCTCCAGCAATACCACAGTCACGCCTATCTCTGGAAATCCTCACATTTACATGAAAATAAATTAATTCAAAATGGGAACAACAACTGCTACGTTTGAGCTATTTATATAAGGCTACACAATGCAAACTGCAAGGATTAATGCATCTAACGGCAAGCTATCACAGCTCAAGTTCTACTTTTGTCTATTGGAGGCAAGCAGTGACGGGAATAACGAGAGGCGGTCGAACTACAAGTCTTTTAGGAGCACGGCACTGCGTAACACAAGTCAAGCGAAAACTTCACTCAAACAACAGATTTTGCAGCCATGACAGACTTTACTTCAAGTAAAATTATTTCGCATGCACGACAACTTTACTTCTAGTAAAGTTTTCTTTCGAGGAGGAAATTTATACACGTACCGGATTTTATTGAAGTATAAACTACCATCCAGGGATAAACTCTTTCTAGTTGCCAACAAGACAGGCTAAGTAGTCAGTAGTGATTTTTTTATGAGGAGCAAGGTTATCTCATTAAATTTTCTAGTCTAGAACAGCCGTGTTTGTGATAAGCAAGTTCCAACCTTACACATATGGAATGAAGATCTTGATTACGGAGGAGCTGATACCTCTTAACACAAAGTGTAAATTGTTCATTTAAATGCGCCAGTGGGGAAAAATGTAGTAAAAATTCACATTGGATTCCAGTTAAATCAACTGTATTTTCTCGGCATTTGGAAGATAGGCTAATTTGTATAGACATTTGAGAACAACGAGCTTATAGTTGCCAAAGATTTGTAATATTATCACAAGCATTTGAACTGAGCTTTTGTTACAATATTGAAATGCTTTCGACACATACCACAGCGGCCAGTAATCATCGAACAACGAACTAGTAACATTAGCAACAATAACTAATGATATATCTCTCAATACTCAACAGCTCTTAATGTTCTATACACAAAACAGTTTATTTGAATCTAATTAATATGTATAATTGTTTACAGAACAGATATTGCTGCATTTGTATATGGTTTGAAAAAATAACCCAACTCAACTTCCGTGGATCATTCTCACTTTAAATTACCATTTTTGCTTCTTATTTTCATTGTGAGATGCATGGGAATTTTCGTGAACATCAGTTCAGGTTCTCAGTCTGCCATCTTACGCGATACCAAATTAAAATGGAATCAGTGAACGACGCCAACGCCGTCCACTCGCTTACAATTGTAGCCGGAATTTCAGGAATTCGAATTAGTGTTCGTCAATTCAGTGATGCTCGGAAAGTCAGATTCATATTTTTGATTGGTTGGATCTTTTCATAAATAGGATGATAATTGGTTAGTAGTAGCTGTAGAACAAGACGGCCATCGAGCATCAGTGGCTGGAACCACGCATCTATTTATCGTGTCCGCTAATCAGCATGAATTTGTTCAGTAAATCGAAATCACAAATTTAAATTAAAATTCAGTATCTCTGCATCATTCATTATGTAACGTAAAAATTTGTTGAATTTGATCTCAAGCTGTGATGTAAATGTTTCCGTTACAGAAAAAAATTATTTTTACGTCCTCGGTAGCATCGTTATGGGCAATTCAAGACTACCAGGGCTGAAGCACTATAGCACTAATAAATTTAAACACTTAACTCTATAAAGAGGTCGGTTCAAAACATTGCACATGCATCAAAAACAGCATATTTAAACCAAGCGGATGCTGCCATGTTAAACGTGCGCTACGGCGCAGTGACAGCCTCAAATGCATCAATACAGTTTTTGTGTGACACATACAATTGAATGGTACTTTGAGATCACCTCACACCACCAGAAATGTTGTAATGCAAATGGAAGATACCCAAGACTTGACATGGAGTCATTTCTTTCATAGATACAAATTCGGAATACGTGCCACGTATACTCCTCCGACTCCACAAGCAATACGAATTATTCCATGAATAAAAGTGCATTAAAGTTCTTGGTTGGTAATGACCAAATACATAATACATAATTATAGTGCATCCCTTGTCGATAGATATGATTCCAATTAACACTAACATTGGTGCAGGTTTCTCCGCACGATTTCCCCTCGAAAGCGTGACTCGAAACTGGCGCGAAAAAATAACCGAGTCTAGGTAAAGTTCAAAGGTTTGCATAGTTATTTTGCCAGTATACGAACAAATGATACGATCAGATTGATAAGAGGAAATTCGCACGCATCCGAGGTCTCCTGATTCTATTCCTCCCGAGCGGGCGAGGCCCTGTACACTCGGACGGTCCGGTCGTTGAGCGGGCAGCATGGGCGATAATTGTCGACCATGCAGCCCTTCAGTTCGTCACATGGGCATTCCGAAGATTTGGGGTACGACTTCAAGGATCTGAAATCGATGAGAAAGTTAAACACTGGTAGCAACAGAGACAGACAAAAAGTTACAAGCTGTGATTAATTACTTATAGAAAAAACAGCAGAGTCTCTGAATTCTTCAGTTCGTCACATGGGCATTCCGAAGATTTGGGGTACGACTTCAAGGATCTGAAATCGATGAGAAAGTTAAACACTGGTAGCAACAGAGGCAGACAAAAAGTTACAAGCTGGGATTAAATACTTATAGATACAACAGGAGAGTCTCTGAATTCGTATGTATCAGTTAACCGTGAACGTGGATCTAGAGTCCTTGGTCTCAAAGCGCTAACTTCAAGTACATTAAAGTGATAATCATTGACAATAAGTAGCAGCCATCATCATTGTCATTAAGTGAGAATTAAAACATGAGCTAAGTGAAATTCACCAAAAAGATAAGTGAAAATTACAATTTTTACCCCATTTACAAAATTTAACGTGCATGCATAAAGAGTATAACGAGAACAATAAACAAAATGAAACAAGTAGGACGAAATACGTCCCAGTAGCATTTATCTCCCTTCTGGCACACTCTAACCGAATTAATGTGATAGAAGAAAGGGACCAAACGTGAATAATAGAACCATATAAAAACAAAGCTTCAAAGTTTGATGCTTTTGTTTGTATTGTATTGTTCTATTTACGTCCGTACCAAGGAACTATACCACCTGAAGGCGGCGAGCTGGGCCGGAGAAATTTCCACGGGCTCCTCGAACACGATCCAGTTGACGGATTCGTAGCACGGAGGTGTTGTCAGCGACCCATCGTACGTGAAGTACGATCGGTTATCTGCAAAATTATCGAGAGTTCAGATGTCCATTGTCGGTACGTCTGTAGAATAACTCGACAGTTAATCGTGCCATTTTGTCGAGTACTGTGAACTGTAACACGTAAATTCTGCATGATTATCGTGATAGTCATGCCTAATACAGACCTACTGAATCAACTCAATTACATATAAATTTAATCTTGAAATAAGCACTGATGGCGTTTATTGATGGTCTTGAATTCTTGAGGGTGTCTTGCCAGCCACATGAATGATAATAAACAAGCGAAATCAACAGTTACTCTTAGAACAATCAAGAGAAAACTTAATCATCGAAACTTTTTGCGGAGGAACTACCGTAAGTGAAGAAGAGTGCAATATTTTTTTATCAATCAAAAACAATGAGGCGGTTTGATGATAACGAACAGTACGTTAAACATTCTTTTTAGCGCATTTTCTCATTTATGGAAAAAAGGCGCTCATGTACTCGCCATGTCCGTCTGTCTGTCCGTCCGTGCCTTCACATTTTCGTCGACGAGAAAATGCGCTCTCTGTCACTCACTGCAGTGAGTACTGAGTTATATTTTTTGTAATTCATCTTTTCACGCTAATTGTCGTAGTATCGTTAATCATTTTTTTAAATTCATGAAAACGAAGTGTGGGGCAAGATAAAGGGTTTGCCTTGAAGCTGTTTTGAGCGAAACTCTGTTACTTGGATTAAAAACGAGTATTGTGTTGCGAATGAGTGAAGCAACAAGACTAGCATAGCCAGCCATCGATTATTCTTATGAGTCAATAAATAATGGTTAATTGTTTTATGCTAACCTGGAAGCGAAAGTAGCGTTAAAATAATTGTGATTTCTTACGAATTTTTCGACTACCATAATTTGGTTCCGCGGACGATTTTTTAAATAGGGACCGAAGAAATGCAAGAGACTTGCTTCAGTAGCATGAAAATCTTTTCAGCGAGTCAGTTATTGAAGGGTTGATGATTATCATAAGCATTGTGTGAGATTTAACTTGTTTGTATTTTGGAGTTTGTGGTGTCTAGTTTATGTTAGATATTTTGGTAGCCAAATATTTATTTGTAAGCTCTAAATTTTCGAGTGCAGTGCGTTTTCGTGGCTAGTTTACCGCCCGTAGCTCTTATTTACAGTCGAAATCGATTTTCACGAGGGCAAAATTTCTACGTTGCAAGCGACAATAATAAATTCGATGGTCAACTTTTGGTAAGCTTGAAGATTTGAGTAAAATGAAGAAAATAATTAGTGTAAATCAGTTTTGAATCCTTGATGACTGACTAATTATAATTTATTATATCAACATCTTTTGGAATCAAATCAAGGCAGAAGTTTAACTCGTTGCGAACACCGGAATTGTGAACTGAGGTCGGTTAGATCCTGCACAGCAATTCAAGATTCAATACATTGTTTTAATTTTCAATTGGGCCGACACCATTAATTAGTGGCACTATAACGACTGTTGCTACAATTCGCTAAGTATTTGGACGAGCGAGCTAACATTTAAAATGTAATAAAAAGTGTTAGGATTCCGACCGCTGTATAGGATAGAATTCTCCGAATAGGATAGAATAGAATTCTCTCAATCAGTATTAATTTCCTAAAAATACCTACGATAACATTGAGGAAACTTTCTCGTTGTGATATTATTCCATAGCGTTGATTAGACTGAAAGCCATGGTAACAGATACACTCAGATAAACAGATACACTACAACATATACATTACAGATCATATACATATACAGATCATTACAGATCATTACTCACGGGGCAAGAAGTTGACGCAGTTGATTTTCTCGTTGATGTTGACAGTCTGGTTCATGTATGGGATGAAGGCCATAAGCTTGGTGAGCTTATCGAATTCTGGGTTAGCCTTGCCGACCTGTCAGGCAATTACAGTCTCATGAATATTGGTTTAAGTTAAATCTTCCGCAGAAAATTGATTTCGGGCAATAATGAACTAAACCCATAGAATGTATAAAAAAATGAGCACTCGATAATAAGGATCTATTAATTATTGAGGTAAAATGAGCATTATTGATCAATGATATACACAACAATATACAACAACGATATCAGAATTGCTTGTTTGACGACTTGTAGTTTAATATAATTTAGTGGTTACTATAATTTGTATCTATTAAATGTACCTCTACCTACGGCGATTTTAAATTCTATATGGTTATACTATTTTTAGTACGACGAGAAACGCGTTCACAAATCAATCCACAATCCTATCCACAATCAAAATATTTATTAATTGTATTAGGTATTCAATTTCATCACATCAGTAATTCTAGCTTAAGCGCTATTGCGCATCAACTGAATAAATTCATGTCATATTGAAAGAAAGAATAAATGAACAGATATAAAAAGAAAATCATCAAAAATACTATCATATATAGCCGATAAAATATGAACCAAAAACGTTTAGAATCACTTAATCTAAAATCTATCATCGGGACATGCTGCATATAATCATCGACATTCCGAAGTCGGATAATGCTTAGCGGATCCTAAAATACATGAAATTTCTATTAACAAAGTCAATTTAATATTAAATTGAAATAATGTGGGTTCCATTTGAATAAACATGTTATGACGATTTTATAAATTCCACATATTATTGGAAAGAACGATGGAATAAGTGACATTAGATGGAATTAGTGACATAATTCTTCCTTATATGGAATATTAATTAGAAACATTAAGTAACAGAAATATTCAAAATTCTAATTTTGAAAGCTTCTATATTAGAAGCGGAACAAATAAGATATAATTTAACCATCGATATGAAAGATCAGTAGCGCTAATAATGCTCACTTTCAAGAAAATTCCGAGCACGGCCAAGCCGCGGTGTGCCGCAGCAGCTTCCCCGAATGACTTGAAATTTTCCGTGTCCCAGTGGACCAGGTGCAACTGCATAGACATAACATAGACGTAAAATAGACATAACATAGACATAACATAGACATAACATAGGTATAACATAGGTATAACATAGACATAACATGGACATAACATAGGTATAACATAGGTATAACATAGACATAACATGGACATAACATGGACATAACATAGACATAACATAGACATAACATAGACAAAACATAGACATAACATAGACATAACATAGACATAACATAGACAAAACATAGACATAACATAGACATAAAATTATAGAATCAGTTGCTCTCGTATGCGGAATAAAACGAATTAAAAATAAACATACTGTGTGAATATTTATATGAGAATATAATATGCCTTTACTGTTTTCGAAAAAATACACTTATACACTTCTATTTTCATCCACGGATAAATGAATCGAACATGCAGGCAATTTAACTCATATCCACCGTCATATGAGCTCCAGTTTTCCAAACAAAAAATATTCCACGAAGCTTTCGTTCTGAAATTTGAAGTTATTTAGACGTTAATGGGTCAATTAAACTGGGATGGGCGCCGGGCCTACTAAATTGAACGTAACGTTGGGCTAAATATTCGGAAGAAAAGCTATTGGCCGCATCAAAGTGAAGAAGAAAGACCCTGATGAAAGCCTTTTGAATGAGATACGCGTGCGGCTCGAGTGCCACTTAGTAGCATGATTAAAATCTCTTCCCCTTAAAATAGTAAAGATTTTGATGGATGATAGTAAAGATGGATGATAACATAAAGATGGATGATAATATAGAATGTTTGCATTAGAGAAAAAATAAATTCTAGGATGAACCACTTTAAAAATCATAGCCCTTCCAAACATTATGACAGGGACAACACTGACTAAAGACGCATTTTTTTCAGTGCAGTTCATACGAAGTATTCATTTCAATATCTCGAACTGACCAAGTGCCTACAACTAAAAAAAATATATGAATCAGTACTCACTGCAGTGAGTGACAGAGAGCGCATTTTCTCGTCGACGAAAACTTGAGGTCACGGACGGACAGACAGACAGACAGACGGATATGGCGAGAACAATAGTGCATTTTTTCCATAAATGAGAAAATGCGCTAACAAATCTCGTAGATCGTTAGCTAAAATCTTAGTCTTATACTGGCACTTAGTAACTCAGATATAATAATGGAATACATATAACTAAGGTTCACCGGCCAGTAAGCTGTTCAGTGCCCCACAAAATGTCGCCCAACTGAGGAATGTTGATCGGGCGAGGCGAGCTACTTAATAAAAACTCTACCAATAAGCAACTCTAGGGCTGTTCCTTACCGATAACCTAGCTAGCTCTCATCTGAACATTTAAAAGAAGTGCGCAGTAGAACTCAAGGTTAGCTAGAGGTGTGTGCCTCCCTTCGAAGCCAAGTTCTCGCTAAGACGAGTAGAAGTGTGCGGATAAACGGGGGCAGTTTTATTTCGGTTACCGCTATGCACTTTTCCGACCGTCATATGTCTGCCTTGCGTGCTGCATGGCGCAGAAAAGAAGTAGCTGGCAAACCGATGCTCGCGGGTATATTTGAGCAATGTATAGGTTCCTGAGCCTTCTTTTACATTTTTAATGTTTGTTCAAATTTTATGAGTGTTTAACCTTCGAAATGATTTTTACTAGACAAAAAATTCTTTACTCGACTTCTGGATTATTCTTTTTCAGCGTGAACTTCGCATGGCAATATTATAAGTAATAGTGATTTCCTTATACTGATGAAAACTCTGACGACGATGAAATGGAGGGAACTGAACTTAGTGAAAAGTTCATTCAGGATATGAGACATCATGCATCACGGTGCGCACCTAATTCTCGAGTAGTTATCCCCAAACATACCACCACTAACTCCTTAAAAGTCGTACGTGGTTACCAAGTTTCTATCGGTCCACTCTCAGCTTTCTTGGTTCACATGCACATAACATCCAAAATAAAACAACCAAACACGACCAATACTATAATGCAGTTCATATTGAATATTTCATTTATGCTTCAAGGTTCTTTTAAGCTAGCAAATTTTCCAAAGTTGTTACCTATATTCATAAAGGACAAATAGGAAACGCATCGCACGCTCTTTTCCCTCTGCTCGCGACTTTCTCCTGCCAAGGAGGACAAGCGAGGCCACTCAGGCACGTATGCTGAAGGTCATAACACGCCCCGTACTCATGCATAGACAGCCGACGCCGCGCTACTCTTGCACATGTTGGCTCAATGGCGCGCTTCTTGTCGAGTGTGTTGCTTCAAGACGTATTCAATGCAATGAAATATAACTCCGTTGCTTTAAGACGTATTCAATGCAATGAAATATAACTCCGTTGCTTCAAGACGTATTCAATGCAATGAAATATAACTCCGTTGCTTTAAGACGTATTCAATGCAATGAAATATAACTCCGTTGCTTCAAGACGTATTCAATGCAATGAAATATAACTCCGTTGCTTTAAGACGTATTCAATGCAATGAAATATAACTCCGTTGCTTCAAGACGTATTCAATGCAATGAAATATAACTCCGTTGCTTTAAGACGTATTCAATGCAATGAAATATAACTCCGTTGCTTCAAGACGTATTCAATGCAATGAAATATAACTCCGTTGCTTTAAGACGTATTCAATGCAATGAAATATAACTCCGTTGCTTCAAGACGTATTCAATGCAATGAAATATAACTCCGTTGCTTTAAGACGTATTCAATGCAATGAAATATAACTCCGTTGCTTCAAGACGTATTCAATGCAATGAAATATAACTCCGTTGCTTTAAGACGTATTCAATGCAATGAAATATAACTCCGTTGCTTCAAGACGTATTCAATGCAATGAAATATAACTCCGTTGCTTTAAGACGTATTCAATGCAATGAAATATAACTCCGTTGCTTCAAGACGTATTCAATGCAATGAAATATAACTCCGTTGCTTTAAGACGTATTCAATGCAATGAAATATAACTCCGTTGCTTCAAGACGTATTCAATGCAATGAAATATAACTCCGTTGCTTTAAGACGTATTCAATGCAATGAAATANTCAGGCGTTGCTTGTCGATTGATGCTGCAGTGTCCTGGCAGATCATTGTTGCCAACAGATTGTTTCATTGAATTTTCTAGACAATAGTTAGCAAGTCACGACTAAGTTCTGGCTCCTCAGTTGAGGTTAGTCCTTATCTTATACATTATAGTGACACCTGAAGACATTTATTAATAAAATGTCTTCCGTTCGGGTGATTGTGGTGTCTCAAGTAAATACTTTTTGTCGAAAGCATTTATTAAAATTGAACTTAAATTTTATCGGCCTTTAATTTAGGTGAAGATTTCAGTTACAGACGTAATTAGAAGGTCGGCCTCATAAAAGCGTTCAGTTTTAAACAAGAAGAGAACATTTTTATAAACACGTCATGAAGAGATAAAAACAGTTGTTATTATTATTATTTTGCCTTCACTTTTAAATTTTTTAATTTCGGGTAGATGATCTACCTGCATTCATTAGCATTATTTTCTTCTTTTGAATAAAAATAAATACAATCTACCAGTTTAAGTCAATCAAGTTAAGATGCAAGGAGACATGGATTTGTTATTAAATAGATGAAATAAGGATTATTCTTAATAAAGTTCGAATTTAATAAATATCAAAGATCGTGATAGATTGCTGTAACAGATGGAGCAAACCTAAACTGAAGAGATAATAAATATTGATCACTGCGAAAAAGTCCATAATTTGTTTGAGTTGCAAAATAGGCTACCATTCAACACGGAGAAAACAGGATTGGAGTAATCGCAATCCCATTATTTGCACTGTCAAGGCAAATAGTGAAGTGCACACGAATAAATTGTTTGATAATGTATATTTATTCGATAATATGTATTTATACGAACCGAACAAAATAAAGACAAAGCAATTTTTTCATTATTAATCAACCGAATGAATCGGGTCAATATCGCGTTTCGTATCCTATAAATGAGCCGTCTTTGAGCGACTTCAAATCAAACTACACCCATGACTTTTCAGTTGAGTTTTAATGTAGTTTTTTTTTATTCTTAAGGCAAATTTTAAGGTCAAAGAGGCAACTTATCACGATTTTTGGCATCGAAAATTAAGAGTGAGAAAATTTTTTCAAATTCGTTCCTTATAGCTTGGGGTATGGATGGATTTGACAGTTTGCACGACTCTGTCGCACTATCTTAAGTTAAGTCCCCAATTTTGCAAATTTATAGACTAATGGCCGTTCTATTATCGCTACTCAATGAGCATTCCGTACTCGGAATGCGCCTTATCTCCATGAGAGGAGACCTTCTTTTGTCGACGCAATCTCCCAATTTGGCTCCATGCATGTGATTTTTTATGGGGTTATCTTAAATACATTGCTTAAAATGATTGTCCAATTACCCTACCTCATTTGATGAACAACATACGCCATGCCATTGCCGACATACTCGTCAATATGCTTTTGTGAGTTGAACGAAATTTCAAAAATCGACTAACTGAATGCATTGACAATGGGGGGCCGTCATTTGTCCGATGTCATCTTTAAAACTAAATGGTACAAAAATTCAGGTAATACAGTTTTCAATAAAATTTATATTGTAATATCTTTATTAGTTATTTTTTTGAGCTTTCAAATCAGGATGTTTCTGTGAATCGCCCTGTAGTATTGGAAGTCAGATGCACGAAATTATTCTGATCGCAATCGCGCAGCGCCTCGATTGACAATTTTCCCATTCCCTTATCTGACACGACGACCAGTACTAAATTTGCGATCAAAGAGTAAAACTGCAATAATTCCTCTCGTTTTGGTTGACTTTTTTTTCCGCACAAGTCAGATTCCTAAAAAATTGTAAGTACAGTATTTTTCGATCATGATATAATTTTCGTTGTAGAATTTAAAAATTAAAAAAATTTTAAAAATCTGGGTGGGATTTAAAAATGCCAAAAGGCAAATACTCACTGCCAGGTTTGCCGCCAGTAACTTGCGCCTTCCAAGAGCTGCCAGTGTTGGTAATTTCCCCGATTTCGACAGCGCTGTAATCGACAGTGACGGGCTTGAGCGAGTCGTCAGGCTTGCAGTTGGAGCGCTGGATGTCAATGGGCGACTGGTTCTTGCCCTCAACGGCAATAGGGAAAGCCTTGCCCCAGGTATCTGGTCCTGCAAAACAACAAAATAAAACGTTACTATGGGAGGTGGACATTAAAATGCCCTAGCATAATTTTTTTAGGTAATTAAAAAAATGNATCTATAAAACTAATTACATCCGCCAGATGTATAACATACGAGGAAATTACTACGGCATGATTATACCTGCCTCCAAAAGCAACAGAATTGACATCGTAACGCGGAGCTATGGGCCCATACTCTAAAAAAAGTTAAGAGATCGTAAGTTCATCAGCCAATCTTTGGCGGCCTTTCAAGCAAAATCCACCAATCATAGACAAGAAAATAGAGCGTAAGTACTTACGTTCACTTAGCCAGTTTTGAAAGTATGGCCCCTGATAAATAATTTCGACCAATTGGTTATAAATTAATTCTTCCTAACGATCGCGGCGAGGGAAGAGGAGTAATGGCGTCTGGAACCCAACTTGCAAGACGGGCCGCAGAAAGAAAGCCTTCGTTCTTATTATTTTGAAGACCAGGAGTTCTCCAAAAATTTTATAAATACAATTCTGCACTGCCAAATAAAATGGTTTAGTTTTCGAAATAAAATTTATATCATAAACCATTTCTGTGTCGCGACTAATTTTTTGTTTTACTTTATAAAATAATTGTGTTTATTACATTGTTGCAGTTTCCAGGAATCCGTTGTTAAATTTTAATAGTAATTTTAAATGTGACCTTTTTGATTTTCAAGTTCCTTCCGAAAATAAATAAGGAAATATTTCTTGAATCTTGACACCCTCACTTAGCCATAATATTTACTTTAAATAGCATGGTACTTACTTTATGATAATAAATAATACTTTATACTTAAGTACCATAATAATACTTAATACTTTACTTTATACTAAATAATACTTTATAATAATAAATTTACTGCGATCCAATCGAGGCACGAAAACACAAACCATTACCTATAACTATCCTCTAAAGTAATCTGGTAACATAAATTGTAATTCTATGTACTTTGTTGCGATGTGTAAATTGAGCAAGTCGATTCGCCACACTTTATTCATATTTTATTTTGATCAAATATGAATAAACCCATTAATGAAAATTGATCAATATTATTTATGAATGATGCATAATTTAAACAATTAGCAAAGTAATTGCGTCGCTAAAAAGCATCGCCCTCATGAAAAGCATTGACTGTGTGGAAACATCAGAGATAGTCGTTATCAGGTTGCACACTATCACACGTACTGGTATTCGGTGAGTCGTTATAAAGTTACACACTATCACACGTAATCGTATTCGGTGAGTCGTTATAAGTTACACACTATAACACGTACTCGTATTCGGTGAGTCGTTGTAAAGTTATACGCTATCACACGTACTGGTATTCGATGAGTCGTTATAAAGTTACACACTATCACACGTACTGATATTCGGTGAGTCGTTATAAAGTGTCACACTATCACACGTACTGATATTCGGTGAGTCGTTATAAAGTTACACACTATCACACGTACTCGTATTCGGTGAGTCGTTATAAAGTTACACACTATCACACATACTCGTATCAGCGTCAGGAAAATAAAGGCCATCACGTGGCTCAGTCAAAACCATCGCTTTGTTTCCTGATGCCCGAGAATATGCGCGGTTCATG